GGCGCAGCTTGAGACTGTGCCCTCTGGTCCTGGGAGAAGAGTCCGACCCCCCCGCGGCTCCACCCTCCTGTCAGGCAGCACCGACCGTACCCGGGCGCGGGGGAGCCGAGGCCCAGCGAGGAGTCGGCGGCCCTGGAGCGCCGGCGCTGCCGCCGCTCGCGCTCATCGTCGTTGCCGGGACACTCGGCCAGCACGGGGGTGCCGGCGCTGCCCAGGGCTCGCGGGGCCGGAGAGGCTGCGGCGGCGCAGCGCGGGGTGCGGGCGGTCATCGTTCTGGGAGAGGGATCGAGCGGGTCCGAACCCCAGTCCCGGCGGCATCGAACCGGGACCGCGCCGGGACCGCCCCGCGATCAAACGCGGCCCTGGGCCCCGCCCACCGCCATGGCCGCGCCTGCCCTCCCCGCGCGCGCGCCCCTAGGGGCCAATCAGCGCGCAGTCCGCCCCGCCCCGCCGGCCAATCAGCGCGCGGACCGCCCCGCGGTTTGAACGGCGGCGCGCGCTGCGCGTGCGATAACGGTCGGGGCTGGGGGAAGAGCGGGGGGTGGAGAACCCGCTCCGAGAGACCCCCCGGAGGGACCTCCGGGTACGATCACCCTGATTTTCTGGTCCTGGGTTGGGCTATGAGGGGTGTCACCCAACACCGGGGGTGCCCCGGCACCGCCCGCACCGGCAAAGGCCGCCTGGGAGGAGGAGAAAGAGGAGGAAGAGGAGCAGCCAGAGCTGCTCCACTTATCACAGAATCCTAGAATCCCTGAGGTTGGAAAAGAGCTCTGGGATCATCGAGTCCAACTTGTGACCGATTCCCACCTTGTCACCCAGACCAGAGCACTGAGTGCCACCTCCAGTCGTTCCCTGGATACCTCCAGGGATGGGGACCCCACCACCCCCCTGGGCAGCCCCTTCCAATGCCTGACCACTCTTTCCAGGAAGAAATTCCTCCTGATGTCCATCTCATGAAGCCATCTCGTGTGTTCATGGGAGGTTGGGACACTGGCATAGGTTGCCCAGAGAAGTTGTGGCTGCCCCTGGACCCCTGGCAGCATCCAAGGCTAGGTTGGATGGGGCTTGGAGCAACCTGGGATGATGGAAGGTGTCCCTGCCCATGGCAGGGGGTGGGACTGGATGGGCTTTCAAGATCCCTTCCAACCCAAACCATTCCATAACTCCATGACTCTGGGGAGCCCCATGGCACCAGGACAAAGCTCCCAATTCACTCTGGCACTCAGGGAAATAATTTGGGAGGGAATTGCCACATCCAGGGGCCTCAGGAGTGACAAGGACCACGGTGACATCACACACACCCTCCAATGTTTATTCCAAGACACCAGTTACAGCTCCAGAGAGAGGCCACAAAATTCCATCCTGATCAGGCAAAAATGAGGCAAAACACCAGGAAAACTCTCCTTCCACACCACAACCCCCCATTGGGCACTTGGAAAACATCTCCCACTGCCCCCAGTGACCTGAAAAACCACCAGCCACGGGTGTCCTCCCCTGGCCCAGGTACCACTGAGACCCCCCCAGGATCTGTCCTGGGTGGGAATGTCCTGGAAAACCACAGGATTGGGCTTGGATCCCCTGGATCCCGGTGAGGAGGGAGCTGCCATCTTCATATTCCCAGAGCCAGAGTCCCCACTGATTCAGCATTTCCCTCTCCTGGGTCTCTCTGGGGACCATTGGGTGTCCAGGGGTGAGGGACCCTCCAGAGAAATCCCTGCCCAAAACAGTCACTGAGGTAGGAACAACCCTGACTCCCTTTGGCAGCAGGAGCTCTGGCTCAGGAATCACCTCCAGAGGCTTAAGAATTGATTCCAGAAGCTTGGGAATCCCCTCCTGGAGGGTTCCAGGATGCAGTGAGTCCCAGAGCCAGGACACGACATGCAGGAGGCAGCAGGAATGCGGCAGGAGATGTGGGGAGGGGGTTGCAGCCACGCAGCTTCCCAATTCATCCCGCTGGGAAAACTGCTGGAGAATCACCAGCATCTGGCTCCAAACACCAAAACTCAGCACCCAGAGGGGCAGGTTGGGGGTTCCAACAAGGCAAAGCAGGCTGGTCTCCATGTGGGAAGCAGCCAGAGTGGGATGAAGAGCTTGGAAAGTCTCTCCTGACACTGACATCACTTGGGATGAGGGGCTCCAGCAGAAATCCAGTGAGGACTGACATGCTCCCATGGCTCCTGGGGTGTCACAGCCCCTGTGCTGGGGCTCCCTAAACCCCCCCCCTTCCAGAGCCATTCCCAGCAAAGCCCCCTCAGGACTCAGCTCCCCCTCCATGGCACATCCACTCCCACTGGGATCCGTGCAGCAGCTCTGGAGCCCTCAGGTGAACAGTGGCTGCTCCCGCTGGGATTTCGTGGTCTCCACCACGAGGGTCTGTCCATCAGGCCAGTCTGGGATGGGTGGGAGTTGGGATGTGGCCGGCAAAGCCCAGGAGTAGGCCATCCCGGGTGTTTCCCAGGTCAGTAGAAATGTTTCCGGCTCTGCTCCTGCCACTTGTTGTAGACAATGATGCCGATGACGATGGCGAAGACAAGGGCCACCAGCGAGAAGAACACGATGAGGAACAGGGCCAGGCCACTCATGGGCTCCAGAGGTGCTTCCACTGGGAGAGGAGGGAGGGAAAACCCCGTGAGACCTCAGAGAGCCCCAAAACTAGCAGTGATTTCCCCGCTCCAGACGTTTTCACCATCCCACACCCCTAGGGGTTCAGCTCCCAAAGCTTTTGGGCCCTGAGACCCTGGGGCAAACCAGGAACTCATGGTGGAATTTCAGGATGGGACATGACCCACCACCCTCCCAGCCCAGACTGGCAGATGGACCCTCACGGTGGGGACCCTGAAAATAAAAGTTCCTTTTTCCTCCCCAGCTCCAAGTGTCCCCAAATCCCTCCTCGTCCCACCTTCCCCACCGTGAAGCCAGAGGTTCTCACTCACTTCCAGGCAGTTTCAGGTTGTCCACAACAGGCAGGAACACCTCCCTGTCCCGCTTTTCCTCCTCCGGCGTTCGCTCCACTGTGAGCTGGTACAGCTTCAGTGAGATGATGTCATGGTTGTCTGGAAGGAGAGGGAAAACTGAGGTGTCCTGAGGGGTCACCCATTCCCAAAGCTCTGGCCAGGGGCTGGAATGCCATGGAAAACTCACAGAAGGGAAAGTTCCTCAAAGCAGGGAAAGCTCCCCAGAGCAGGGAAAGCTCCCCAAAGAAGGGAAAGGCCCTCAAATGTTTCCATAAGGCCCTGCAGCTCCCCAGATCTGCCATAGCCTTTAGGGAATCCTACCTGGACTCCCCTGGCAGTACCTGACAGGTCCCCGGTGACCGAGGACGTCCCAAAGTAGTACCCTCGGGGCAGGTGCACGCCCGGCACGTCGATGCAGTCCCTCCACTCGTGCTTCCCATCAATGTCGATCAATACCTGTGGGACAAACACTTCCCTTGAAACCCTTCCAGAAGGCTGATACTGTGCCAAAGGAGACAAGGAAGTGGAAGATCAAAGGTCTTTGAGACCTCCGACTCAAGGCATGTCAGGGGTGGAGCAAAGATAGTACTATGAGAGGGATGGTTTTGGAAGTGGGTGTAACAGTATTAGGTAATGCTTTAAATTATTAATCAGGTAACTAAATAATAAATTAACTAAATTAACTAAATAAATAAACTAAAAAGTAACTAAATAATAAATTAACTAATTAACTAAATTAATTAAATAATAAACAAATAAATAACTAAATAAAAGCAAGAGGCTTTGGTAACTGCATGCAAGCTTTGGAAGAAAGTAGATTCTCGTAAAATTAATATATTAATATATCAATGTAATAATATATAAATATTACATATATTATATTTGGCATAATAAAAGGAAATGCTACCTTCTAAAACTCACAAATTGAGTTTTGGGGGGTTTATTTAAGTGCTGTTTTTAGGTATCATGGGCAGCACTCACCGTGAGCCTCCTCTTGACGTAGCGGATGACCAGGAAGGTGTCGTGGGGCAAGTTCCTCACCATGGCCGTGCAGCCCCCCAGCTCTGTGGGGCGTCCGTCCCGATCGTGGTCGTAGGTCAGGGAGCCATTGTTCACCATGGCTGAGATGTAGGGGAACACCCGCTGCCAGGGGGACAGGGAGTGAGTTTGGGGTCTGACAAGGGAGGCTGGACCCCGGAGCATCTCCAAAGGCAAGAGTCGCAGCAGCCCCCTGGACCTGAACTTGTTCAACCCCAAAGATCTGCTCCACAAGACATCAGGACTACGCTGCTCCATCCCTGACCCCGAACTCCACCTCAACCATCTGCCTCAACATGATTCCACTCCACCCCTGACCCCAAATT